TATCCAGTGTTAGTGACCATCTTAATTCGGATAGTATGTATGACAAGAATTCTGAATGTTTTTGTTCTTCTGATTCTCAGCTCTCAGGCTATAGCTCTGTATCTCTACAGAGGGACGATACATCAAAATTATGCTTTCATTTGGTGAAAGGTAGTGATGCCCATTCAGGTGTTATAGAACTTTGCTCTCCATCTCTGGTGATGAACAGTACTGGAAAAAAAAGTGATCTTAAATCCTCAAGGGGGAAAGTAGATGGAAAAAATAGTTTGCATAGTGATCTGTTCTGTTATGAGGAAGGTGGAGATACATACCGTCCAAAATACGCTTCTGTTTCCGAAGGTAAAAGTTCCAAGAATGTTTCAGTAGAAGCTGCTCAGGAGGGCAAGAATTTTTCTGCTGTCCATAAAGAAAAGAATGCATCGTCTGTGAAGAGAGTTGACAAGGAACATAGGAGTCTACCACTCAGCTCTACCGAAGCACATATAGCTGGAAAGGGTTTTGATAAAAAATCTATTACATCTTCTGAAGCAGGAAAAAACTTACATGTTACTAAAACTCCAGCTTTTGAGGATATACCATCTGGTTTGAGCAAAATAAAGAGAACTGAAGCCATAAGCCAAAAGAGTAGTCATCTTCTGGAATCACTTGAACTACAGAAGATGGAAAATAAAGGCAGTCCTTTTGAAGGACCTGTTATTTCATCTGTATTTTCTCTTAGCTCTGGGACTGAAAATGTTCCAGAGGATGTCAGATGGGATGACACAACACGCAAGAAGAAATCAGCAACATTGCTGTGTAGAAAGATTGCTCAGCTCATGTCTGCTGCTGAACCTAACATGAAATCTGTGCCCTTGAGATGTCAGGCTTCTAGTAAAAAGTCGCTTTTGCCTCCAGAGAGTTCAGCAAGCTGTGAGGGAGCTGTTTGTGCCACTGAAGTGGAACAACCTGTAACTTTGTCTGAAGGACATGGTGGAAGAAGTGTGATTAGTAGTGAAGAACACAGTGAAGATCAGCTCTTTACATTTGCAAGAACTTCTAAAAATAGGGTAACTAAAAATTCCCATGTTGCTACCCCAGTGTTTATCCCCAAAGGGACGATGCTGAGAGTGCTGAATGCTACAGGCAGTCAAAGCTCATACGGAATAGAAAACAGGAGCGAAGCGTCAGCTCCTGTGCATCGCAATGAAATGTTTCTGCCTCGCCCGGTCCCCGTCAGTGTTTCTGAGACACTCAGCAGCAATTTCCCATGTTTGCCTAATCAGAGCGAACCAGGTGCTGAGTCCCAAACTATATCACTCAGGCAAAGACCAAAGCGAGAGGCAAGTGCTAAAAATAACAGCAAGCAAACTGGTGTACCATTTCAGAAAAGCAGTGATGTGAGCAAGCAAAGCAAGCCCTATTCAAAAAGTCCCAAAAATAAGGCAAGACAAACAAGCTTCAGAGAACTTCCTAGGAGGAAAACAAGAGCTCAGTTGGAAACCACTTCAAGTTCTGATATGTCTTACCTGTTGACAGCAAGACGTCTTCGACTTCTTCCTCTGAAAATGAATCAGTTGATAAAATGCCCTCGTCGTAATCAGCCAGTTGTGGTACTAAACCATCCTGATGTTGATTCACCAGAGATAATTAATGTCATGAAGACTATCAACAAGTATAAAGGTCAAGTCCTGAAAGTAGTTCTGTCAGAAAGGACAAGCAGTTGTCTTGGTGTCAAACGTTATCGGAAGCGTCTTACTCTTCAGAATGCTGAGACAGGAAACCAAGCAAAAAAGCGGAGTATGCTAAAAATGAAGCTAAAAAAGACCCACAAAAACAACTACCAAGTGGTGGAAAGTTCACCAGCTGAAGCACTTCGGTGTCTCTTTAAGTGTTGGTTTTGTGGAAGAGTATATATGGACCAAGAAGAATGGATAAGTCATGGACAGAGACACTTAATAGAGGCAACCAAGGGTTGGGATGTTCTTTCTCTTCAAGCAAGAAAACGTTAAGTGAGAGCCCAGGGGAGGTTTCCCCTCTTGCTTTTAATGAGTGACACTAACTAGCTTGAAATGGAGGACAGAAATAACTGCTTTATTTTGCCAAAAGTCCTCTGCTGTTAGCAAAATGGAGAAAAGAGTAGAGGTACAGAGAGACAGAGAATCTGACAGTGAGGATTAAGCACCACTTTGCACTCTTGTGATTGAAATTTGTGTTGGAGGTCAGCTTCATCTGTTCCATAGGAGAAATTTGAAGAAGATTTGCTATGCAAACATCTTTCTAGTTACCTTAGGATACTGTGCTGTACGTGGTTTGTGCTAGGTCTGTATGGATTAAAACCTTAGATGATGAGATCTTTGTAAATTTAACAGAATTTAGTTTGCTTTGTTACAGCATGGTGTTTCAGAGATCGAGCACATCTGTATGGAAATGCACCTTTGGTCCTCTGTGGGCAGCAAGTGGAAGTCATAGGTTTTAGCAGCAAATTAAGCACTACGCATAAAAAGTAAAATTTCAATGCAAGTGCTGTGTTTCAGTGAAATAAAAACACTTCTGCTGACTTCAGAGGAGGGTGTAAATGAAAAATCTAGGGAATCAGTTACTCCTGGTAGGTCAGATAGCACAAAAAAATTTAATTTTGTTTGGTACTGAGTCTTTACCTAGACTGTATTGTGTAGATGCGAGGGAGCAGAACACTGTCAGGATTCTGTGCCATCAAGCCAGAAATACTTTCAGGCTTGGGCTGATAGTGGAAAGTGCTTCTTTATGGCCTCAAGGCTGTTTTAAAATAGTATTAGTCAAACATAAACTCTGTACCACCTTGTGTGTGATAGAAGCATTTACAGACTCAGTATTTGGTTAGAACTCTAGTTGGTGAGCCTTTTTATTAGGGAACTTGTTGAAGACTTTTCAAACTGAAAAGCCATGTTGCACAGCTTTTACATTGACAGTGTTGAACCAGATTTTCAGTGCAATCTTTCATCATATTTAAGAATTTAGATGTTGTTGCAATTTATTTTTTGTAGGCCTCAAATTCATACAAGCATGTGCCTAGTTACAGATTATGTCTGATGCGTACTGACTTCAGTGCAGTGTAAACATTGCTCAGTTGCTTAAACACTTCTCTAAATCAGGGCCAAATTACAGCTTTTTAGTAAAAAAGAGGGATGGATGACACTGAAGTTACTGTTTCTGTATGTGAGCTGTGGATGTTTCTCTTCATTTTGTCAATTTTAAATCATTTTAGAGTCATATAGAATGAAGTATAAGGAAGCACATACTTACAATTAAAATAATGTGTTACAGTTTTAGAAGTATGAAAATCAATACTGACTCTAATGCTGGATGTGTGTTCTATGTTTGAACTGGGACTTCTCTGGTAAACTGGTAGTCCCTAACTCTTTTCACTGATGGTGCATTTTTGTAAACAGTTTAGCTGGGAATATTTTTTTATATACTCCAGCGGATTATACATTGTTTTGATAAAATATTTATCATATCTACATTAGAATGTAAATATTTTAAAACTCCATCTGACTGAGGTTTACTTTCAAAACCACTTATTGCTTTCCCATAATTTTGCAATACAGTGTTAAAATCCTTCCAATAGCTGGTGCTTTAAGTCAGATCTTTTCGTCATGTACACACGAAAATTTTTGTATCATTTGTATCAGACTAAACTGCTCCACAGAACAAGCTTTGTTTTTCCTGTTTTGTCAATAATAAGGAAATGACAGTTCTCATTTTGTATTCAAATGGAATTATATTTTTTTAGATGGGTACACTAGAGGGTTTTTTCCCCCCACTTCGTATGCTTTGATGCCAAACCTAACAGTGCTTATTTGCATTTTCAATGGTGAAGATAGTTTCCATTTTAAAATTATAGCATAACATATAAAATGAATACTGAAATGGTTAACACAAAAAACCCCATGGTTAGCATTCCTCATTTGTTTTAATTCCATCAATCCAGGTTACTGGCTGAATCAATTTTGTTTCTGTAGAAGCTACCAAATAAATAGTTTTGAATTTGCTTTGTAAGAGTTGTCACTGGCAAAATCAGAACATTGCTCATGAAAGCTGTACTGGGGGAAACGGAGAAAGTGTTGCTGCTCAGCTTTGTGGATTCTGGATGGTTTAAGTATGCTAGTAATGCTTGTCTTCTGTAAGCAAGTTTACTGTTTACTTTAGTAAACATCTGCAAAGCTCTGTACGTCACTGCCATAATCTGTTATCTAAATTGTTGAGCCTTGGGGTTTTTATAGTTTTTAATTTAAATTTTTTTTTGTTTCAACATGAAAACCTTTTGTAAGTTAAATTGTATTGTGGTTATGAAATTCTTAAAGCAGATTATGTCATGCTTTTTATTATGAACTCTGCTAAACTCTATTTTAGCAGCTTCTGTTTTGTTACTTTTATTAGATAAAATTAAGTCAGAATAATTTCCTTCAAGTTTAACAGTGTCATCAGTTTGAGAGAAATTATTTACAGCGGATGTTTTCTTCCCTTTTGACTCATCATTGAGAAATAAAAAGGTTGAAAGAAAGTAACAATCAGCTGCTGAATTTTTTTAGAGCTAGTTTGTACCACACATAGTACGTCATAAATTGGGTTGGAATGTTGTGGTTTTGGGCTTGAGTGGTTTTGTTCTTGTTCCTGTTCTGTAAGGATAAAGTAACTGAGGTTCTAAAGTAATTAGGTTATTGTAATATACCTTTTCTGGTATATTGCAATAACCTAGTCAAACTTCTGAGTGTGGTTAGGAAGGTTATCGATGCTGTGCAGAAAAATCCCTTCATGTACATGTGGAATTGTAGTTTGCCTTCATATACATAGAGAATTTAGCTAGGCTTCCAAAACTCAAATTGTATGAATAAATATTTCTGTATTTTTTTTCTGGAAAAATAATCACATTCTCATGTTCTTTGCTCATACACACTAGAGCATGTTTTCTTGCTGGTTTTGAAGTACATCTACTCTTTCTACTTCAGATTTTTATCTCTACATTTGCATATGGTATGAATTCAAAATGACTGTTTGCATAATGGTCCTACTATGTAAGTGTTTGAAGGCTCAGGTATGGTATACAAGTATCTGCTACTTAAGCTGAAGAGTAAGTGCTCATTGAATAATAGAATTTACATAATTACAGCTAGTTTTAAATCTCCAGTGTCTATAAGCATCAACTGACACTAACTAACTTCAGTGGCAGCTGAGCACAGCTTGTTGCTGAGCAAACATATGCACACCACATGAAATTGTTAGACAGTGAGAACTCTGGCACACAGTATTTCATATGTATTTTTAAAAGCAAGAATATTTATTTAATGACTGTGGTATACTTTCTTAGGTTTTGCTACTTAGCAGAGTTTAAGTGACATTTAAGTAGGCAAGGGCAAATTTTACTTTCATTTGAAGTTAGAAGATAGAGTGCAAGATAAGCAAATTGGTCAGTCATTGTTAAGGTATCAGGAGTCGGTCTCAACACCTTCCTGTGAATGAATATGTTGACATATTCTTTACTTGTATCCTCAGAATGAAAATGCAACAATCAAAAAATGGAATAGATCTGTAGTTCTTCAATATATTAGTGGGAGCTCCTTGCTCAAGAGGCGAATCTGATTTTTGGGGTGTTTCAATAAGTGTTCTATTTATATCTGTACGGATGAATCAGCGACAGCGAGGCAGAAAGGGTCAGCAGGACTTGAATGGATGTGTGAGGTAGCATTGTTCTCTGTGGTTTCCTGACTGATCCTTTCCGTCAATGAGCGTTATTGGAACGGATTTGTAGAAGTCAATGATCTCTTCCACGGAATTAAATTTCTGGGGGGAGAAGATAGTAATCAGTGACTGAAAGTGAAATTGCTAGATGGTTTAATCTATAACATTAAAGGATTTGCAAATGACAATATTAAAAAAAGGCAACACTTTGCATGGAATTATGATTAGATGAAAGCAATTCTAAAAGGAAAAGCACTGTATTTTGATCTTCATATTTCTTTTTTGTGTCTCTCATGTGCAGGAAAAAGCAACTAGCTCCTTAGGGCAAAAAGGGAGCATGTCTAAGCCCTGATAATGCAGTATCACCTATAAAAGGTTGTGATGCTGATGTGACGATAGATGTTGAAATGATGAAGCAACTATAAATTGTTGCTAGTTTTTTTCCTGCCACAAGTTACACCTAATTAGCAGTACATGGTATTTTGCACTGCAAGTTTCAATGTACCTTATTAAATGTATGCTTTGTTTTCCCATTCAGTTTATTGAGACAGTTGCTTCCTGTTGAAGTATGGAACAAGAAGCATCTTGTTCTCTCACGCCCAAAAAAATGACATGCTCCAGGCAACTCCCAAAATTATAAAGGTCTGGTTCAAGGTTGTTGACCTGATCAAACAGCAAGAGAAAGCTACACAAAGTGTTTATTTTCATCTGCCCTAGTGGAAGAATCCCATTCCAATGATTAGTAGTCCTAAGTAGTTCTTACACACTTCCTTGTGTGTACCTTCTAAGCTCTCATCACACCACAAAGCTCTTGTCATATCTGTTTTCCTCTTGAGCTAGTCTTTGTACTCACTGGTATTAAACCACCAGAACTGCTCACAATGTAAGTAATGAAAGCTTACTTTGACATTAATACTTATCACCTATTTATATAACATTTACTGTAAGTGTGGCTCTTCATTGTACACTTGGTCGTGTCTCATGGTAGTGTCTCTCACCCCCACCTGATTCACACCTAGTTTATAACAACAGAATCTGATTAAGGATATGATTTGGTGAAACTATTCCTGTATTAAGATGAAAATTGTTTGATCTCAAAGCCAGAATGGAAATTTTTTCAAGTTTTGTTTTGATAATTTTTACTCATATGCATTTGTTTTACTTTGCTGTTTTGTCTTTGCTTATGTTCAAAGTCACTACTGCTACTGAAAACTGAGGCAAAACTGTGGTCTGTATTTCATGCCTATTGAAAGTAATCCTTAATTTTTTAATTCTAAATTAATTCTTCCAGCACCAGTTCTTTTTCTGTTTTTGAATGTTTTCTGCTGGTTGGGAAGGTCTACTATAAAGGTCTAAAGGTCAAAAGGTCTACTATAATTGTTCATCTGCTTTGGAAATTTATTAGGCTTCACTAGGTTAATGCCACATTGTTAGTTTTTCTAGCTCTGGTAATGGGTGAGAAATATCTCAGAGTTTTATGTTCAGGTCTACTATAATTGTTCATCTGCTTTGGAAATTTATTAGGCTTCACTAGGTTAATGCCACATTGTTAATTTTTCTAGCTCTTTGGTAATGGGTGAAAAATATCTCAGAGTTTTATGTTTTCAGCTCTTTTAATGGAACTCCACATTTTGTTTGGTATAAAGACACCTAAAGACATAAAGATGAAGAAAAATCAGTCTTTGATTTGTTTCCCTTCACTGTGTGAAGAGACTCAGCCTATCTCTGCAGGTCTCCAGTCTTTTCTGGGGAGATGGGAATAGGGTCTCAAAGGTTGCTTGTGGGAGGTGTAGTTCTGAATTGTGTTGGGGAGGTGGTATAACTGGGCTATGCTGCACATCCTGGATGAGACCTTTCATCCCTGAGCTGCCATTTAAGCTGTGGACAAGATGCTTATCATGTAAACCTCTCTCAGCTGAAGGTACTGGCTGTTTGCTGTGCCACTTTTCCTGGCAGTAACTGTTGACATAACACTGTCACTGGGGGGCATTGTGGAAGTGCTCCCTAATCTGCTTGGATGGGCCAGGCCAGTTTGGTGGCTGCTGAAGGTGGGTGCAGCTAATCCTTTTGGCTCACATGGGAATGAATGGTGTGACTGCTATGACTTACAGTTTGAAGATGAAAGGTATCTGCAAATGCAGTGGTGAGGATGGATAAAGTATCTGTGGCTGGAACAGGGAGATCCAGATATACGCATCAGCTCTGCTGTAAACTTCTGTGTAAAGCAGGCACCAAGCTGAAGAGATGCCTACTGCTGCCTTTCATTCTAATGTATTTTTCACTGCGATGGGAGTTTAGACTGATGCTACGGACATGCTAAAACCATGTATTTTGTGTGTGGCAGATCTAGTTTTGAAAAGGAGATGAGAAAAATATGTAAATTTCGTGTCATGATCAGCTTTAAATATGAGCAAGGTTTGTATTTTGTCATTTTTAAAAGAACTATGCAGATGAAAAAAGCCAGTGTTACAGGGATCTCTGGATCTTAAATAGTGAAATTGTCTGGAGTAGAGGAAGGCAGCAGCCAAGTAAAGGGTGCTCAGTTTTGAATGTAAATTCCTAAATTCCATGTATGCATCATTTGGGGATCTGATCTTTATAACTTTATGTAATTTGGCCTTTAGAAAGCTCAATATAGCATATTAAATATGTGCGTAGGTGTGAACATCTGTGTTTAAATAGGTAGCAAAAGATGTAGCTCCACTAAGAGAGTTAAGTGATTTTCTTTTTTTACCCTTCTATTTATTATACTAGAGTTGGATACTAATTTAACTGCATGGAACTTGAGTTACTTCTACTATAAAAATCTGATGATCAACCCCTTTTTTCCCTCCTTATGGTCTTACAGAGCTACATGGGAACTAATGATAAAAGCACTCATGAGAGTTAAATGAAATACATTTTAAAAAATAACTGTTAATTTAAAATCTCATTTGGTTATACAATATGTTAACAGCTTGTAGACTGTATAGTAAAATTCGGAAGTTGCAATAAGATATGGAAAGCTTTGAATAATTATATTTATGTGTGAGGAAAAATGTGTTTTTAATGGATGAAAATAGACTAATTCAAAAGTGAAAACACACTGCATAAAATCTGTTAAGACCAAACCTCTGAATAAGATCACCAACTGTGGAATAATGTAATAGGTCTGCACATGTTCACTGGTATTTAGTTTTCTTTCTCATTGGCTGGTGAAGAGGGAATATTCATCTAATCTAGACAGAGCAGCTAGGTCCGTCTGCACTGCAAAATGTGGTGTAACAAAGGGTATCCCTGCAGAGGGGCAAAGCAGAGTGCTCTAGAAAGCTTTTTAACGGGTACTAAAAAGTTACAGGCGGCAATTTTCTGTAATTCACAGCCTTACAAAGTGTTTTCACTTGCTTTGGGAAAAAAAAGCCTTAGATGACCTGCAAAAATGGAGGTGAGAGTTTTCAAGAAAGAGCCTTTTTGGGGAACCGTATGAGACTGCCTGAGATGGAAGAAGCTCTTCTGAGCAGTGCTGGTGTCGCTGATTGTTCATTACTGTGCATGTGCTTTGTGCCCTCTTCTATTTTCGTGTCCACTGCTGAGAATAATACATAGGAGTGGAAGATTGCCATGTCTGTGATTCTCTGGCACAACTTTTAGTTGACCAGCAAAGCAATGCTGATTTTTTTTCTGTTGTGCTTGATCCAGGGGAAGATTTGAGTTAAAGAGAAAAAATCCTCAAAGAAGAAGGCATAAGGTAGGCAGTCATGATTACAGATTTGGCCTGGTAGAGCCAAGTCTTGTATGTTCTGTGTGTTGTTAACTAGATGATTGGAATCTTTATTTTGGAGTTGTACTTTGCAATTTGACAAGTCAGTCCAGACCCACTGTTTAAGATATGTACTGTCTGTGCAGAAGTTGGAACAAACAACAAAGTCATATATTTTGGTATTTCCTGAGATGGGAGGGATTGTGTTCTCCTTCCTTTTAGTTCAGTAAAAATTGTTCATGTACTGTTCAAGTAATTTTCCAGTTACCTTAATTGTTAAAGCTGTTAACCTAATGAAAATTTAGTTCTGTGTCTTTATTCTCTATTGAGAATACACATATACTACATGATGCTGTAGCATGCCTTATTTCTGTCAATGTTTCTGTTCTGGGCCTGTTTGTATTGGAGCCATTACAGGAAGACTAAACAATGTCAGAACCATGGAAAACTAAACTTGCTTTCTCCTAAGTCCTAAAATTCCAGGAAATCATCTGGGAGTTTCATTTCAGAAATGCAGCCATTGCTTTACAGAATACTGGTGGTCACTACAGAAACAGAAGGATGATGCAGTACAGTTCCTGATTCCTGCAACCATTCAGCTTCCAAACTGTTTCACTCTGCTTGCATAATGAAGGAATTTTTCCCCTCTTTATCATTAAACAGATGCCCCTGAAGAACAACTTGCCAGTAAACCTTGTTCCTCTTGTGAAAGCTTATGAATCCTATCCCATTTTTTCTAATAAAAATGCAAATACAAATTTTGGACCTACCAAATGCCTTAAATCAGCTCAGGTGATTTGTGATTTCAGGCTTTTTAAAGTCTGTCTATACAAAGGTAAGTTCTGAAAAGTATTGACATGCATGAAAAGGATATAATTCAAGATTCAGCTACAGAGTTTTTGCTGCTTCACCTGAGCTGGATTTGTGTCAGTGATTTACATTGCTAATAACCCATAGATTGTGTTGCTTTTTTGCTCTGCAGCTGAGCATTCTTTAAATTTTACATTGTGTTTGTCGTCTAAAAATTTTTTATGTTTGGTTCTTTTGTTTTGGTTTTTTTGTTTGTTTTGTTTTGCAAGTATCATATTTTTATAGAGACGACTTTCAGTTTTAATGTTTTTTTTTCCTTGTGTGAAAGACTTGCAGATACAGTGTTTATCATTTAACCATATATGTAGAATAAGAATTAGACTTTTATCATGACTATAATTGAATTTAATTATGTAAAGAAGCATTCCTTGTCTAAAGGGATTTTCTAATTGAAATTTACCATATCTGAAAGACTGATTGCTAGGGACCCACATGATTTAATTGCTTCTGAATATCCATGACAACTGTTATCCTATTGCTTCATGGCACCAGGTCCTGCTGTCAGATATGTGGAGCTGTATATATTTGAAAATGCCTGCTTAAATTATCACAAGTTTAAAAATATGCTAAAATAAAATGTATGCCAGAAAAGGCAGAACATCTCTTTCCTTTTTACTTTACAGGTGTTACTTACAGTAGATAGAAGTATTGTAAGTACTTCGTAGATTTTAAAATTGATTAAAATGTGAATTTGAGCATGGTATGCAAAATTTGGTATTAAATTATATTGAAGCTGCTTGAAATTTGAGACATACTTAAAATGAGGGTATTGTAAAAGAAACTGTAATGAAATAGCAAGTTTGTTTTGTTGGTGTGTTTGTAATTAGTATTTAGTATTAAGAACTTGTGAAGTCTAACATAAAAGCCATAGGCTGCAACAGCAGATGGGATTTTACTTACACACTCTCCTCTGAGCCCTGTTCCCAAGGCATATTGTTGGCTTTCTTCCAGAAACCGTACTTTAATGTTGTATACTCTTCTTCCATAATAAACAACCAAAACGTATGGTTCAGCCTTTGATTTCTTTGAACAATCTCTAACCAAGAATGTCTCATCCTGAATGACACAGATTTAAATTATGGATTGTATGGTTAGTTCACAACAAAACTTGTAAGCCATTGTAGACAGTTTACAGAAATTTTCCCCCAGGAGTTTACACCCCATGTTTTGAGATAAATGGTACTTACAGTGTTTTTCTGTAACAATATCTTCTCTGCTTTATGGCGATCATATTCTCCAACGTACCACTCACATTTGTTTAAATCCTTAATTTTAAGACAGCATAATCAGTGTATAGAAATTACCAGCAAGCAGAAGAAAAACCAGATTGTATCTAATCTGCTTTTAAAGCACATGCAGCCCAGTATATAATGGTAATGCATCTATATTGAGAAGTCCAGTTAGGAATTGTTAATCAAATTATACATTTACATTCTCATCCATGGTTTCAGGAGCTCACATTGGACGTTCTCAATACTGCTGAACACCCACAGCTTTCATAGGGGGGTCAGGGGTGGTGCCATACAGTGTTAATCCTGTTTCCTAAAAACTTGTATTTTTATGTAGCAAAGCTGGTCTTTACCTTTTCAGTGGGTTTGGTAAGAGATTGCATTTCCTCTTCTACGAGCAAGTGTTTTGATTTATTTTTGCATGCTGCATATGATGTAGGAGGTGGTGGCTTCTTCACTATCAAATTATCTACGCTTAATGTGGAACCTGTAAAAGTAAATTCAGAAGGAAAAAGGTTGCATTCTTAAAAGCTATAATTTAATTTTACACTATGTTTTACATAGTAATTTTGAGAATAGTACTTTTAACTTAGATTATTGTGGTATTAACCTTTAAAATTTAGAGTTGTCTGTTAAGAGTGGTCTTATGCTAATGCAGCATCAGTGATTTCAGATTAATGCCCCTAGGGATTTAACACATAAGATTCCTGATGGTTTTTAATTGACTTCCATCTGACAGGCTATTGTGGCCATAGCAAAATAATAAACTGTTAATAAAACAGAAAATGCTAAATAAAATACTAAATATGGGACAAGGATAATGGTTCATTCTGTTCTACTTTCACCTTTTGAGTCCCTTTTATTTGTGTTGGATCCCAGTTGCTATTACATTGGATCATATAAAAGCCTCTCATTATTCCATTGCCAGCTAGCATTGTTTCCGCCAAGCTATTGAAACCTCAAATGATTCAGAAGTTCTGCCATGCTGATGAATTTCAGTTTTTTCTGTGACTTGTTTGAGTTAACAAATTCAGGACCAAGGGGTGAGGTTGTCCTCACGTTGAGGAGAAGCTGTTGGTCTTTGGCTGCGTGTGCCTGCTCCATGCAGTGCTGCTGGCACAGGAGCCTGGAGCAGCCGAAATCCTTCTCCCATAGCAAATGTGATTCTCTGTCTTTACAAGCTAGACCCAGCTACCCAGGTCTCTGTGGAGCTAAGGAAGTGCAGGGTGGGTCAGGAACACAACAAATCATGTAAAACAGGAGGCTTGGGCTGACTCTGAGGATGCAGAAACAGCCTCAGAAAAGCAAGGGCTTCCTTTCAATGTAAAGATCAAATGTAATTTTCAGATGTGACATGGCGAAAAATTGTTAATTGAAGATAAAAACCACCATATTCTGTTGTATAACAGACAACAGTTTTGTGTTTTTCATGCAATGCTGGTGTGAGAAATGATCCAGTGTCCATTTTAAAATGAGAAAAATGTATTTATCAATGGCTTCCATCTTTTCCTTTGGTTACTGTCACCAGAGACAGTGCTGTTTTCCAGGGTGGTATTTCATTGTGCTTTATCTGTTCATGCTTTATCAGTTTATTATTGTGTAGCATATGACAATATTAAATTTTACAAGGAAGACTCTTTTACAGAGGGGAAGCGATTTTCACTGCCTTTCACTGTTCCATTCATATTTGTACCATGTTCTGATTTATAACTGCATTACTTTTGTTTTTAAAACAAGATCCACTGATAGCAGTAGACAAAGAGCCATGATCTTGAGCAGGCAGTTGGTGTGTTCCCTAATGAAACCACTGTTCAGAGGGCCTGGCACCAGACATCAACCTTTTGTTTCTGCCGTCACTTTGACTTGTCAAAATGTGACTTATTCTTACTGTTCAGCTTATTGATCGTGATTTTAGCATTTTTGTTTGCATTGCATTTTTAGTGGCTGGCATCCCCATGATTTTTTTTTAAAGAGACCCCACTGCTAGGACCACAGCTGCTTTGTGGACCTATGCTGTGTATTTTTTGTGGATTTTTTTTTTCCTGGTTTGTGTTAAGGTGTGGGGCAAGAAGGGTAAATTTTAAATTCTCTTGCAATGCTTATGTGCCAAGTCTGGCTGAGATGGAGCTAACAACACCTTGTCAACAAGTAAGATTTAATAAAATTAATATTTGTTCTTACAATATTTTTTAAGCCAAATATAGAATTTAAAGGCAATTATAGGGTAGCAGGAGAAAGGCTACTCTTATTTGTTCTCTCCCTGTTGCTTCAGGAGGAACTGACAGAGGAAAAAGGATACTCTGCTGTCCCAGAGAGCCTAAAGGAGCAAAAGCCCTGGTAAGGATGGTAGGAAGTGTCTGAAGTGGCAGCAGCAAAGAGAGACCTAGATGAGATTTACGGATTATGTAAAGAAGGATTTTTAGTAGGTGTCCAGAGGAGAGGGTGTGGAATTGCAGCCCAGCACAAGAAGGAAGCAGTTCAGTGGAGGGAGCCCACCAGAATCAGGGAGCTGGGCCCTGTGAAGCAAAGCTGGGGGAGGTAGGCTTGGTTAGCCTGGCAGCGACCAAAGTGAATTTGAATCCTACTTGATCTGAACAAATAATGCAGTCCATATGTTCTTCCTGGTGGTATTTGCTTTTACCGTAAGTTCGTGTTATGCACTCATAGGTTCCTGGCACAGCTTAGGGGTTTGATTTTTTGATAAAAAAGGGCGTTTGCAGAGGCAGTTACAGGAGAGTAAGTATGCTATGTAGTCAAGGATGGTAGGAAGTGCATTGGTAATAATCAGTGCAGACATGTAAGCATAGCAACCTGAATCTGTTTCTTCCTCTTATTTTTCCATGTTTAGTTTGGCTTTCAAAGCGATCTCTGGTTCTTACCTGATCTGCAAATGTTTTTAGAGCTCCATGTACATTGAGGGCTAGGAAAAATCAATGAATAAAAGTAATGTCAGAAAAAGATTTCTTATAGTGGCAGTGTAAGAGTCAAATTAAGAGAGCAATGCATAGCTGTGCTTCCCCAGAATACTTTCTCTTACCAACAGTGGCAACTTTGGGCCATCCCGGGTTTTGGGTGCTAATTTTGTATTTAGTGTATTTTGACAGATTTCCCTTATTTTCATGAGCCAGTTTTTAAGTTGCATAGAGTTTAGGATTTTTCAGCCTCCATAAGAGTTCCATCTTTTAACTGCATTTGTCGTAAAGACAGTTTGTTTTTGTTCACTGCCAATTTCAGCTGATGTTCCCAGTGCCTCTATAGGAAGATCCAGGGAGCAGCAGTTTTTCCCTGCCTTTTTTTCTAGACTGCAACTGAGTGGCCAGTTAGTACTTTTTTGTGTACTGGAGGAATATTGACCAAATAACTTCTCATAACAGAAGAATAAGAAGAAAGAGAATACTAGGGGTCACAAATATGGTCATATTTACTCCATACAATAATATTGTCCCAGACAAATGCCATTGTAAACAACATTGCATGAGAGATTCTGTATTTGTCTAGGAAGGATGTTAAATCATTCATATACTTCCTATGCTGTCTCCTATATTTTTGGGTTTTGTTGCATATTTCAGTAGAAAAAAGGTTACAGATATTTAGAAAGGAAAGATTTGTATAGATTAGAGAAACAAAATAGGTCTAACTATGGAAGTTTTCTGTGGGAGAATAATCAGCCTTTGGAAAGCCAGGTGTGTATCCTTTGTAAATAAAAATAGAAAATGAGGGGGAGAGGAAATGCTGAAGATGGAGATAGCAGAACTTCTTTATACAATATATTTAACACTCTATTACAGAAATAGCAGGAGAAATGTAATACAGCAGCATGCTATTAAAGATAAAAATTGGCTGTGCAGTTACAATAGATTGAAAGCAATTCCCAAAGATGGTTCTTGTCATACATCAGGGTAAAACATATCACTGCATGGCATCAAAAAGTGGTATCATTTTGCTGTTATTACATAGTGAAGTACAGTTTTCTAGGGCAAAATGTTTAGTTCTTGAAGCATCCAGTACAAACTCATAAAATTCTTCCATTCCTACCTGGCTTCAGGAGGATGCTTTTGTGCTTGAAAAGGTACTTCAGGTTTTTTCCCCAAACTTGTAACTGTTAGTAAAAAGGATAAGAACTTAGTATTTCCTCTTTTCTAACTGATAGCATCTAGCAACTACTGTGAAATAAATAAGTAAATTCATACATGAGGGTGAGGCAGTTCAATAGAAAACCTTAAAGGGCTGTAATCAGTCTGGCTTGAATGAGTCAGCTAATGATTTCAGTGGGAAACATTTGGACTAGTACTGAATGTTACATGGGGGACATCACAGGGTTTGCTGATGCCAAATATGGCTTCACATAATAGTAAATAATGTAAAATGTTGAACAAGAAGTATGTGGAATGTAGCCATGATATTATGGAAAATCCTTGCTGGGATTTTTCCTCTCCTGAGAAGCTGAGGAGCCTCAGGAGAGAAAGGTAAACAATTCCTATCTGCTGCTGTGGAATGCAACAGGTGCATCTGTGATTGGTGCATGTGGATTGTTTTCCATTGATGACCAATCACAGCCACCTGTGCCAAGGCTGTGAGCAGTCACAGGATTTTTGTTATTTTATTCTGTTCTGTTCTTGTAGCCTTCTGATCTCTCTGTTCTTTTAGTATAGTCTTAATGTAGCATTTTAATATAATATCTAACATAATAAATCAGCCTTCTGAAATGGAGTCAAGCCTCGTGGCCCCGCCACACGTAGAGAGACATCAACAGTGGAGAGTTTATAAATCCTTTTTATAGGACAGGATAGGCATTGAATGTATTAATGCAGTCGATTCTATTTCTTGCTGAAAATCAGGAAATGGTGCCTTAATCCACAAAAGGAAAAGCCAGAGGAAATTATGAACTTATTAACACAAAGTGTAAACACCATGAAAGCCATGTAACCTGTATCTATCTTCAAAGTATGTTGGAGTAATGTTATTTATCATGGACCTTTCTGCACATGGACACAGTGAGTGGTTTGAGCTGTTTTTTTCAAAGCTGTTTGTACATCTAAAGAATTGACATGTTTTTAAAACATTGGAGATTGCAAATTTGTAAAAATTTTTTTTAGCTTTAAAAGCCTAAAGCTTTTAAAAAACTTTATTTTAAAATTTTCACCCTCAAATAATGGTAGAACAGTAAGATTGACAGAAGGGCGATGTGCTCTGTGCAGATCTCTTTTGGGTATCCTTTTGGGTCTTTTAGACACTAAGATTCTTTTTTCCACAAAAAAAAAAAAAAGTAAGACATTTGCTGAGGACAAATATGATACCCTGGTTCCCCAAACAGCTGTAGCTAAGGCAAACTTAAGTTTCCTTTTGTCTGCTGCTCATCAGCAACTCTTGAGGTCTCTCTAAATCTCTCCATTCTCAGCAGATGTATACCTGAGGGATGTCTTTTGTTTCAGTTGGAATATTAATGATAGAATATTTTCATTTTGGAATATAAAGGAAAGAATAAATTATGATCATATTATTGAATACTGACCTTGCTCTCTTCCAGGTGCCTATATAAAATGATAACATAATAAATATTTTTCTTTGGATTCGTAACTTGCATTTACCCCAACAGACCCAACTATTCACCAGTTTAAGATGATTTATAGACATTCAGTCATTAATACCTGATCACTTCATCAAAAACCTGGGCTGAATACTGATGTCAGTCTGCTAGCAACAATGAGAATGAAACATTTTAGGGGTGTAAGTGAACATGTTGTTTACTGCAAAGATCAGCATTTCATGATGGCTGTTGTGTATCAATTTAACTGACAATATGGTTTTCCTTCCTTGATCTTGTATTAAATTGAGATGGATTATGGTTGACTGGAGAGACACAAAGTTTAAAATCAGTCACTTCTTTTCAGGTTCCTTAACTGACAGTACAATTATTTTACTGTCATGGCAGATATTTCATTTAAAATCACTGTGTGGAGAGTCTTAATTCAGCATTTTATGTTAAAATTAAGAATAATAGGTTTCTAAAAATTGGACTTTGGCTCCTAAACTTTCACTGTCTTTATTTATTATTTTGATTCACAGATCAAAATGATGGGAATATCAATTATTTCGTTTGTTAATTTGATACATCTAAGACTATAATACACACATAGGGGTTTTATTCATACATGAATAGGGGTTTTTTTGGTAGATACTGCATTTTGAGCCTTCCTTATAAATTACTTCCCCAATAATGTTTACCTATTACTTAGTAATGTCAAGTCTTATTGAAGCTGGACAAGACCTGGGCATGTCCTAGCCCAAGCTCTTGCTTAAAGCAGGGAGAACTGTGAGATGAGACCTGGAGTCTCAGAGCTTTAACTAGGTCTTGCAAACCTCCCAGAATGCAGATCTCACAGCCTCTGGGAAACCTCTTTCAATACCCTCATAATTCATTTTTCTTCCCTATTTCTGATTGAAACCCTCATAATTTCAAAATTGTTGCCTCTTGTACTTCCACTGTGCACTCTGTGAACACCACGCTCTGCCTTTTTGACAAACATCTCTCAGACAGCAACTGACAGCTGCTGGGCTCCCCCAGGGCTGTTCCCTCTCCCACAAAAGGGAGCCCAGTCCCTTTCCTTTCCTCATTTCACAGGGCAGGTACTGCATGTCCTGGTGAGCCTCTGCTGACCCTCTCTGCTCTGTCAGCTTCAGCCTTGAGCAGCACTCCCGGTGTTGTCTAATGAGTGATGAGTAAAAGGGAATAGTTCCTTCCCTTGTTCTCCTGGCAATGCTTCTGTTGACACAGCTTGATGTGCTCTTGGCCTTTATGGCTCTCAGGGGTACACCAGTGGCTCATGTTCAGCCTTTGGTCCCCAGGTCCTTCTGAGCTGAGCAGAGGGTTTAATTCATTCTTAGGTAGCATTTTGCCTTTGTCCTTTCCAATTTCAAGAGGCTCCTCAGTTCCCTTTCCTGCCTGTCTGGGCTGTGGTGGAGGGCAGTCCTTCTCTCAAACCTGCTCTTTGGTGTTTCAAACCCTGACAAGGGCACAGTGTCTTCTCCAGGTCACACTGAAACTGTTTAGGCCTTTCATATCTACAGGGATGGGAAGTGACCAAAATTAAATTTTACCTTTTCCATGTCATGAGACATACAATATTTCCCCTTAAGATGTAACCAAATTAAGAGCCTGTTAAGAGCTGAAGTATTTGTGCAGCTGTACAGTGTCCAGCCAGAAATATTAATTACAGCTGTAACATATTTATTTTTCTTGGGAGTGTTTTCATATTTAGTTTGTAATGAGTCAGTATCCAGTACAAGAAAAAGTTTTTTTTAAAAAAATATTATCTTTCTTGCCAATATATAATTTTTTAAGCAGTAAGTGTTGATTACAATATTACTATCAAACCATGTTTTTGTCACCATCTTTCAAACTAAAGCTTCTAACCAAGAGGAGTGAGGTTTGGGGCAGCCTCCCAGTCAGAGCTGTTGGGAAGGAAAACTCAATGGATTTAAAAGTTAGACAAGTCTGTGGATTTGTGCTTCAACCTGCTGTGGAAAGAAACATTTCAGGTTAACTACTAGAGATTCCTTTATTCTGTTCCCTTTAATGAGAAAATAATAAAACCAATTCTGTAGGAACACATTAGTGCAGGAACTAAAACATTCAGTAAGAAGCACAAAATGCTATAAATGATAACCTTTTCCCAAATTTTACAAACATCCTATAACACTGCATGATTGTAGGGGTTGTATTTCTTAATAAGTTTTATAGCAAACCACTTCTCATAACTAAACTCCCTTATTGCTAAAACCATTTCCTCTGCTTTACTTAATTGGTCTGAGTGGAAAGTGAGTGAGGAAGGAGAGGCAAAAGGGAGCTGGGGGATAGAAGGCACTGCTAAAACTGGATTTAAAATTTGTCCATTCTTGTTTCGTATTGAAATGGGTCATCTTATATTTGAAGTATTTATATTACATTAGTGCAATGACACTCCTCTATTAACCTTATAATTTCAGTTTTCTCCTTGTAAAAATGTGTGTGGCATCTCTTTTTGTCTGAAGGAGAATGTTTCCTGCTGCTCCCTCTGCACAGGCATCCCCATCAGGCAGTCACGAGAGATGATTTATGTGGACAGTTGGACAGGGAGCTTTGCACTGTACCTGTTCTTATTTCTGCAAACAAATTCAGAAACTGACCCCATTCAGGAAGTAGCAGTATTGAAACTGAAGCACACATTAAAGATGGACAGTTTTATGACACAAAGCTAATATGACTTACAGGTTTTTTTTTAACCTAATAGGTTAAAATACTATTACATACTGTAGCCATGGAATGTGTTTGGCTTTTATGGTCCTAATACATACAAAGATGAATACTTACTTTATTTGATTCCTTAACAGATGAATGTCTGGAAAAGAAAGAATAATATGCAAAACATTTAATTATGATAAAATAAAAATCACTTTGATCACTTTGAGTAAAATCACTGATGATTATATCTTGACAAGGGAAGAATTTCGCTACTGCTAGAGAAGTTGAGAGGCTGGTTATTTTTTACATGAATTATTTTCGGGAGAAGTATCTTGGGCCTCCTTAAGAAAAGAATAGCATCCACTGAATTCATTATGGTAAAAGACAACTTTGTTAAGGATTTATACTGGGAGAAGGGGGAAAAAGAGGAGTATCAACTTCAGCACTTTTCATCTCATGCCAAAAGGTCTCATTACACATTTTAGAATCAGCTATAAATGGAAGTAAGTTCCTTGAAGACTGAGTAATTTAAAAAATGAAACAGAGCTGAAATGGAAAGTGTACAGGAAAGGAGATGCAAAACAGGGAAAGATGAGTGGAGAATGTTCCTCATGGCCCTCATTAAGCAGGTGTTAAGGTATTTTTCTGCCTTCTCCTGATATGACTGATCAACAGGGGTATCATCCTTTCCTGGGAAGGAAATATTCTCCTTCCAAAAAAAAAAAAAAAAGGATGAAGTATTGAGTCTGGGTCATCTTTTGTTAGATGTTTTGATTGTGATGAAACCTTACACTTTTTAGCAGTGTGTATATCCTAATAAAAGAGACAGGGGACCAGATTCTACAAGCTATTTAGCAACATAAGGTGTGAATAAGCATCTAGTAGTTTTTGGAAGGCTCTGAGATTTAGTCACTGTTTAGCCTATCTCCTGGATTGAAAAAATACGACAGTGAGATATTTTCCTAAATCAGTCAGAAGACAAAAGGAAGATCTGGTATAGGAAACCCTGGGAGCTATTTTTCAACAGGGACAAGGGCTCTCTTCCTCATGTCTGTGTTGAAAACACTGATCAGCATGGAGGCCTGAGGCAAGAAATTTGGAAATTATATGTATTATTCAAGAAGGTTAGGAGAAAGGAGAGGAACTGTTTTGGTTTGGATAGTTGTTTTTGTGTTAGTTTCTTCAACTTGTTAGCTTGGTCTCCAGGGCCATTACTTAGTGTGTGAAAGGCCATATTCAGCATATTCAGGACACTGGGTGTGTGGAAAAGTTCCATGACATTAAAGATGTGCTTGCAGGGCTGGCCTCCACCTCCAAGGGACATGGCCCTGGCATTGCCTGCTTACCACAGGCATATAAAAGTTTCAATCACACCAGAGCTTCTAATATACATTCCAGGACCCTGCACTTGCCTATTTTTTTATGAAGCTATTTTTAGAGTGTATAAATAATGATGTGTTAAATTTTATAAGTCTTCCAAATTTTGTTGGAAAACAAGACTTGCACTCCCAAATCACATCTATGGTTGGACAGCTTTGCTTACAGTCTGTCAAAGGACTGTAAGCTGTGGTGCCATACTCCTTCCCTCTGCAGCTCATGGGTATGTTTTCTCCTTACAAAGCTGTGACTGGACTGAGGATGGGTGAGAAATATTTTGAGTGAAGTGCTTGTGGGAAATTTGTCAAGTGCCTTCCCCAGATATTGTGTTGTCTTATTCTGTTCCACTTCTGTTTTACTCATGTAATAAAAAATCCTAATAAAATAGACATGACATGTATTTATATTACAGAATTTGGCTCTATAATAGGACCTTTTAAATTGAAGTGCTCATCATACTGATATCTACTAGCAACATGGATTATAACATTTCTCAAAAAGCTTTCAATCTATGCTGCTCTACCAAGGGAGGGGATCAGTTGTGGGATTTGGAACTTTGCAGCTCTATGTCAGGTCTTGCATCTGAATATGAAGCTACTTCATGTCAATAAAATGTCTTAGTAAACAAGATATTTTGGAACCTAAGCCATGAAAATATTTAAGCACCATTCAGGAAAAAAACACAACCCATAATTACAGCTCACTCATTAAATACATACTTTAAGCCAAAGATTATTTTCTTGATTTTTAAGCTTATTTTCCCCCCAAAGGATTTGAAGTGACCTCTGTAAAATGAAGCAAAATTCCATCCTGATGAGCTGGAATTGAAATCATTTAAGGGAGGATGGACAAGATTGACACAACTTCTGGTTGCTATAGGAGTCATTTGAGCATCATACCCTGTGGTGCCTGGATTTGTGTCATTCCTGTTCCCAGCATGTGTCCAACACTGTCCCCGTTATGTGTTATGTGAATTTTGGTCACACAGCAGGCACACGTGCACATCTGCTTGTGTGGCAGTGAGCAGGGGTGTTCATGCTCATCTGGCCAGGTACATGTTGTGTGGAAAAAGCAGCTGGACTCCTCGCCTGTCATAAGCATGTGCTGGGTCATAGCTGGGCACGAGTGTCTGTGTTTCAGGTGGCTCATCCTCACTGCCACGTCAGGATGCTGAATGACCACGGGTGTTGTGTGGCTGAGGAGTGCAAAATAGAAAGGGCAAGAAGTGATTTGTAGCTTGGATTCATTGGTCTCATGGGCTGAAGCCAGACTTCTGCCTACAGATGAGTCATTTCTTTTGCTGCATGTGATATCTTTGGGATGTGAGTTTCTGTATCTCTGGTGCAGTCAGTGTGTTTCCCCATCAGTTGATTCACTAACTGTGCTAGGTACAGTTTTTGTACTTAAATTTTTGTACAATTTTTGTACTTAAAAGTGGTTGCATGACCTCTAAATATTATTAAGGAAAAGAAATCTTAAACAAAATGTTCATGAAAGTTCTGTTTTTCTACTCCTTTACCATTATTTTGTAATTTCTTTTTTTTAAAAAAATGCCAGTGTCACATTACACTAAATACCACTTCTCTCAATTGTTCACAGCTGTCTAAAGAATAACTTCCTTAAGCAAAAGCAGAGGTGTGACAGAAGTAGAATTTTGTGGTTTGAGCAGGGAGAGTGTTTTGATTCTCAGGGAATGAAGATGAATGCACTGTACCTTGTGACTTTTGCTGATATTGGAAAGGTGGGATCTCGGCTGAGCGTGTTCCTCTTGTGCAAGACCTGGCTGCTTATTCTTGGCTCTGGAGGAAGGGGCTGATACTGCTTTGGCAGCATCTTCAGAGGCCTAGGGAAGTCAAAAGAGACCTTGAAGAGCTATTAGGGAATAAAGGAGGTGCAGGGACTGTTTTTAAATGCAAGTTCTAGAAGTAAGAGACTGGAATTTTCTGAGAGTATTTCAATGTATTTGTTCTGAGCCAACTCAGATCCAGGAGCTCTTCAGGGCCCTTCAACAGCAATAGTAATGTTGGATAATATTCTACATTTGCAAGACATTACTGCACTGTGTTTTGTGCCACTAAATACTGCTTTGATGTGCCTCACCAGTGTGTGCCAAGCCCAGCTCTGCAGTGTGGATATTTCCAGGTGGATGTGGCTGTGTCTATGGTCCAGCGAACACAATCCAGACAGAGGAAAAAAATGTTCTTCATCCCAGGAGACTCACAGGTACCATGAGCCTGGTGTTTTCTGAGGGATGTGGGCATGCCCTGTCTGTGCTCTGAGACCAGGCAGTCCCAGCCCAGCTGGAAGCTGTAGCATGGAGAGCTTGGCTGGACAGAACTGGAGGTGCATCCAAGGTGCCTGGCAGAGCTGCCTTCAGTGGTGGGGTCCAGGCAGGGAGCCTTGTGTGTTTGCACAGTACATACCCAAATTAAGTCAGGTGAGAGAATTTAGAACCATTCTGGCCACTATAGTACAAACAGAAACAAATTTTTGAAATTTTGTAGAATAATAGATTGAGAATGTTCTTATTCCTGCATTATTACGGTTTCGAATTTGTGAAGTTTTACTGCCCTTTTATGCTATTTAATATTTTTTAGAGTCAAATCCAAACATGTAATGCTAATCATATTTTAAAATTCTTTTTATCTTTTAGAGCAGTCATTGTAGGCATGGAGGAATAAACTTGCCATTCCTAGATGACCTTTTGAAAGGATTTTTTAATTATAGCAGTTATTATTTGAGTTTGACCAAATCAAGAAGCGATTAATTTTTAATTTGTGGGAATATCATAGAAAAATACATTTGTATAATAGAGTTTGGTCTATCTTCTTTGGGAGTAAGTGGAAATATTCCAGTTGATTTCCATACATGATTTAGATGTGTAGCAAAAAGCACTGGCAAATTGATTTAAGTGAGAATGAAGTCAATATTATCACAGTGGACAGAGCCTAAGGCACCAATAGAATTGGTGGAATATTTTTTTTTCCCCAGCAATTTATATCTGGGTTGGACCAGATTCAATATTTCTAGGCTTTTGACTTGTCTGCAGGCACAGCCAAATTAGTTTTGAAGAGGTAGGCCTGAGTTCCTTCTATGAATGCTTAGAGCTCGTGTTTTGTTCTCCCTAATTCTATATCAGAACCTGTTAAATCCAAAGACAGCCAGCAGTAAAAGGATGCTGGCTCACTTCCAGTCACCTCATTACCATGAGCAGCACAGATGGATTGAGCATTCATTAGCACTGGGTTCCCCGGGGAGCACAGGTAAGTGATCTCTGATGTGATCTTACCGTGGGGGAGGTGTAGGCTCCTGGAAAAGACAGGAAACAAAAATCCCCGTAAGCTTTTTTTCCCCCCCTTAGTTTACTAGAGAGAAATATGAAGAATTTAGATTAAGTAGACATGCTTGTGTCAAGAGTCAAAGGGTTTATGTGCTCTACAGCACCAAACATCATTCTGTAACATGGCACTTTAAAATCACTGAGAAATAAAAGACATCCTCACGTGGATGCAAGTGAGTGAGGCAATGTAGATAGGAGAACTCTTCCTTTAGCTAGTGCTAGCAAAATGGCAGCCTGCTTCTAAAAATCTATTAAATGGCAAAACAACCAGTAAAAAAATGAATTGATGATAGATTCTGCTTACCTGGTATCCATGTGTTTTCATTCTTCCTCCTAAGAATAATTACAAACAATTCTTAGTAGAGTGCTACCCATATAATTCACAAATGAAGTTACAGCTTTATTTTGGTGTTGTTATTATTATGGGCAATCCAACCACATTCCTTGCCTTCCCTTGGCTCTACCTCTAGAACTCTGCTTTTGCTTTCAGAATGAAGCATTTGAGGATGATATTTATTCAGGTATTGTAAATTTAAATATTTTTCAGAGACTTCATAGGCATATATATATATATGCTTATTGAGTTAGTGATGCATTTTTTGTCTGTTTTTATTTTTGTATAGAAATTTAAAAAAATACTGAAAACTAATGAAGTCAGTTATATTTTTTCAAATATACCAAAATATGATTTATTATTTAAATTAAATCTTATTACTAAAAAAATAACATATTTTATTTTTCTATATTGAAATTATTTTTGTAAGTTCAGCATGCTGAAATACTAAATAATGCAAAGGACATGCAACAGATCTCAAGCTCTCCTTCAAATAAACCTTAAAAAATTGCTTTGAATAAAATAATGATACTTTAAATGTTTAACATTTCTAGAAAATGCTGAAAAAAAGTCTTCTGTGCTATTTATGCCATCTTGTGGCAAGGCCACTTAATAGCACTGCGCATGAGAAAAAACGTTAGGATATATTGAAAAACAGTGTAGCTGTTATCTAAAAATAATAGTGTTCTCTATAAGCACTGTTCACTCAAGAACTACTAAAAATATGTATCAGTTGCATTCTCAAACACCAGAGTTCAATTTACCTTCCTGTACTGACTTTGGTTCGTCTTAGCACCAGCACACATCACATGGAGACATATAAATCCAACCTATTAAATCCTGGTGGAATTCAAAGCTTTAGATAAACTGGCAAACTGTCCTTGCCCACTGGTTTCTGGAGATTTTGAAGCTGGCTTACTCAAATTTATCTCAGTTCAGCTTTTTTTCCAGGCTACATGGGGATTTGCTTACAAGAATCCATCTAACCTTTCATTTTCAACTTATATAGCACTTACTTTCTCATCATCTGTAGGAATTACTTCTCTCTACATTTTGCATTACAGTGTGAAATAAGGGGGGAAAAAAAGCAAATGCTGTTTTACATGGAATTCTTTGAGTTATTTTTCTGGCTGATCAAATTGTAATACTTTCTAAAAATCAGCCGTTACAGCAAATATAAAAGGGTCACATTTTCTTGGCTTGGCAGTTGCAGATTTTTTGACCATGTTACCTTGTTTTTCTAAGATTTGAAAATGGTAAGATAAAAAATACCATTTCTTTTCAAAGATAATCAAATTTTTAATCCTTCAGTAGTTGACTTCATGAGGTACTGCTACATCCAAAGTAAATGAAATGTAAAAAAGTGTATAGAAACCTACTTTTAAAACAATCCTACAACTGAGTGAAACCATCAATCAGAGGACTTTATATTTGGACACTTCATTAGGTTCTTGAAGAATAAGATTGCCTGTCTATGATTTCACCACAAGAAACAGAACAAAAACTAAAGGTACATTTTTGACTCAAAATTAAAGGATTTTGAAGCAAATTTACGGTTAAAGGTAAAGCAGCAGAGAAAAAAATACACTAGGTAATGTACCACACCATTAGCTTATTCTGAGTAGGTCAGAACATTGTCAGAAAGCCTCTGTAAATAGTCACCTTAGGATGTAAATCCCTTGTGGGAATTGCTGAAGTTGGTATTACTAGTTAAAAATAGTTATTAGATTATGTTTTACAATATATGCATGGAATATCCCTGAGAGGGATAGGGAGTGAAAAAGAATTACGTTATTAGAAGTAAAGCCCAGCAGGGATCTTGCAGACTTTTGGTGAAAAATTTCAGGAGACATTGGCTTCTCCCTGCCCCTTATGTCCTTACAACATAGTGAAAAGGAAAATCTGATTTTTAAACTGAAGGGCTTTTTTCCTCCCCTTGTAGGAGCAGGAAACTCCTGAGATAACATATATCTCCTTCTGTAAATAATTACTTCAGTGTTAGATAGTTGAAAGTGTATTGCAAAATTTGCAGGATGATTGTTTTGGAAAGCAGCTGCTGTTCTGAAAACCGTGTCTATTCTATCACATGTAATCTCTGCCTATGTACAAAAGGTAAATATGGAAGTAGAAATTACTATTTCTGTTTGCAGAAATGGGTAGATTTTTTTTATTGTACCTCTTACATTTGGCACTGTTCTTCCCTCCGGATCGAATGTGTGAATCTGTTAATAAACCAAAAGAAAGATGTGATGTTAGCCGTCATTCCTGAAGCTATGGCAGTAGAAAGGGCGCTGCTCCTGGCTGGGATGCTCTAACTCTTAGCAGAAGCCCGGAGCCAAGGAGTGAAAGCAGGAGGCGAGGGCATCCGTGCAAAGTGAAACAGGAACAGCTCACAGGAACTTGGGCTGCCTGGTGCAGATGAAAGTGATGTGGCTGAGATTTTAAATAGACTGATTTGGGGGCTATTACAGGAAAGGGGAAATCTGTTTGTGAATAAGGTTTGGTATCTTTACTTACGGCTGAGTGTTGAGGGGGCTGAGATGGGCTCTCGCTCTTTGGGGAAGTGGTACCTGAAGGCCTTAAGCAGCGTGTGTCTGCAAAAGAGGAAGAAAAATCAGGCCTGAGTAATTCAGTAATATGATGTTTGAAGAAGGAGGGGTTTTAAAGATCAAAATGTGTTTTTCAGGTCAGGTCTCGCCATTTATATAGCATTTAATTTTTTTTTCCCTCAGAACTTAACAAACTATTATAGCAGCTGTATTGAGAACGTAAGCATGACCCTGGTAATAGCTTTATGCTTAACATCCCCGCTGTGGTTGTAAATAAAAGCCTTCAAAAGCTGGTAAACAGTTAAGGCAGACATGTGACCTTAACTGTGGTTAGGTTACTGAATTTGTTTTTCATTTGAACCTTTGCTCTTGGCAATGCTGTCATGTTGTTCTGGTTTTGCGAAGGTTGTAGGGGTTTTATTCTCTAGGTAGTATTTTAATTTTTACTTTAGCTTTTAATAAAAGACTGTATCCCTGGCGTTCAAAAATAAATGCTCAGGCTGTATACTAACATGTCTTTTTCAGTCATTAATTTTACATCTCAAGGGCACTGGCATTTATCCAGAGAAGATGGCACAAATTTTAGCATTGAATTTCACCCTTTTAAAGTATCTTTTCAGTTCTTCACTCTTCTGTCTTGCCACATTATACTGGGCATAATACACAGGCAAAAACCAGCTTTTTGTTTAATGTGTTTTACCTTAAATCACAAAACAAAAACTATGTCTTTTGGCTAGTTTAGGACAATCTTACATAAAAATCCAAAAGATGCTGACTGCTAAATGAAAGTTTTTACTGCTAACCAAGATAAAAACTGTATTTGGAATTCACTTCAGGTTTCCAAATAAAATGGACAAATTAGTCTTGGAACATAATGTAGAATATCTGGCTGTTCAGACTGATTGTGTTCCTTTCACACACTGATGAATTTACTCACTTTAAAAGCCATCTATTTGTTTAGACATCAAACAAACTCCCACAAAAAATGAGTAGAAAATGTCTTTGTTGACTTTGATGTGAACTGGAGCGAGCTATCTGGCTTATGGTTTCCAGTCTTTCTCACCTAGGACTCCCCCCATTTCTTTAAGCTGTTTAAAACCTCTAGAGTGTTTATATTGGATTTGAGCAATGCACAGCTAGGATGATATTTCACTTCCATAAATGGGATATTAATTGGTTCTGTATGTTTAGACATTAAATGTGACTTAGAATAGCTTTAGTAAACCAAAAGGTGATTAATGCAGCTACCTTACAAAGTTAAGAATGCTTGAGAAATACACTCAAAGGAATTGCTTATTACTGCTATTTAAAGCTTCAGAGAACTCCTTTGGAAAGAGTACTACATTATCATCTAGAGGAAAGTTTAGTGTGTTCTTTAGCATGTTTTCCATCTTGAAGGTTTCTAGGTTTAAATAGCAGTGAGATTTTCTGAAATGGCTGTGTGTTTGAGCAGCCAGGTTTTTGCACATTCCATGTGGAACGGGATAATAGAATTTATCCATGAAGTTAATATTAAAATTAAAAAGCAGTGTGTAGTTATTAATTTAGCATAATCTAATGAAAATAAGGATAACTGTTGAATATGCGGAAGAAGACAAAGCTCTTCCCATGTTTCTGCCTACCAGCATTATTTTTCCAGTTTAACCATTTAATTAAAAAAAAATAATCTGGACAGAAAACTCCAATCTGTACTGATGCTCTATAACTCTAGGTTTTGCTCAGTTTCCACAGACAGAAAATGTTACCCGCATATTCAGATTCTTGTAGAGGTTTGGCAGGAAGGATTCTCAAAGAATGAATGGCCTCCAGCACTGAAGAATTTACAGTCTCGTACATATTGTCTTCCTCCTCGGATAGCTCAGAGGAAAGCTGTATGTCACTCCTGCCCTTCATTGTCAAGTATTCACTCTGGATAGAAGAAGAGATGTACAGATAATACAAATAAATTTAAGTTCAAGATTGATTTCAGTGTGGAAATGTATGTTTGCCATGACCAGACATTTTGGTGCGTGGGAAATTTTCTGATGGAAAGTGAAGGGTCAGAAAGTAGTTGAGGAAGTGATTTGAGTACCTAAATTTTTAATTTAGATTCATGAAATAGTCGTTTGGAAGACACTTTAAATGTCTCTCTGAATTTTGCCTCTCTGCTCTTGAAAATATAATGAGAGTGTTTAATTTATGATCATTGCAGACATTTGAAACTGTATCTTTTATTATAATATTATCCATGTGGTATTTCTGTTGTACTGACTGTTTACATATGTTACTTGCAAGAATGAACTCATCACGAATGTCACACTTCAAAATAAAAATGTATGGTGTTTTTGGGGAATTTGTGCTAACAAATGTGCAGTCCAAGCGATTGTGATAGTGAGTATGTTTTGAACAGTGGAGTCCATGGAAATATGGTGTTGAGAGTGGCTCAGGAAGTCTCTGGACGTGTTCTTACACTTGTATAAGTTTGTTCAAGGTTGTGTTCTGGAGTGCTGCTCCACCCTTCACCTTCACTGTCTGCTCACTGAAATGTAACCTCTGGCTTCCTTCAGCACAGAGCCAATATTGCTGCTGAGGAAACTCAGCTGAGGGTACCCCATGCCTCTAGAAGTCATATTTTGTCACCAACAGTGTAGGTTCTTCCATGCACTTGGTCTTCTTTGATGTTTCTTCTATTTGCAAATTTATTTTACTCTCAAATTTATTCCCTGATGTTTGTTTTGTTCTCATTACTAATGGGGTATCAATAGCTTCCTGACGTATCTTCTACCAGTTAACTGCCCTTTCATTTCATGCTTTTTCTTGAGTGCTAGAATTGAAGCCAATTTGTTTTACTCTCCAAGGACACTAAATAAATTGATTACTATCCACTTTATTTCAAACTTTATTATGCTAATGCTTATAATTATGTATACTTTTATTCTTCTCACTAAGCAAATATACTTCTTTAAGTCTTTCTTGGATTGTCAACCAACTTAAAAGACTTTGAATCTCACATCCCCAGTGTTACTTTCCCGTGAGCACACTCCAGATTGTACACATCTTTGTTACAAAGGCAGACCTCCAAGAAGTGTTCTTTACAGTGCATTGCAGGGTGAGGTTTGTCTTTATGGCAGTATATAAAAACGTCACCACACCTTAGACAGGCCCTGCAGGGTGCCTGGATTTTCAGGCTCTTCTCTGCACCACTTTTTCCAGTTCAATAGCAATGCTGTCAGCCAGGCTGAGTGGCTATTTTTTCAATCAGTTGTGCAAGCACTTTCATCTAGATGAAATAATTTTCATCTAGACCAGGCATGTACTTGTGAGACTGTCTTCTGGGAAATATCAGAGGCCTAATAAAAAGCAATATATATCACATTTACTGTTTTCTTTCTCATCACTGTAGTCATATTTCTGCTGAAAAGGAAATTACTTTTAGTTTGTGGAACTGATGAGATGTTCTTCATGTCACATTAACAATTCTTTACATAATCAGACTTTTTATTTCCAAAAGATGCTTTCAGATTGACTTTGTTTAATAATCTCTCCAGGTACCAAATAAGTCCTCAGGATTAGCTTTCTTTCTTGGAAGCAATTGCGGTTACCACCGTTCTTATCCATAATTTTTGAAACTCAGGACTCTGGAGAATTCCCCCAAAGAATAAATTAATATCTTAGAAATTTCTTAAATAATTATTTAAGTGTCTTGACATAAGTAAATAATTTCCTGACCATTCTTTTCCCACTCTGCTCTATGCTGTTTTTGCCTTTTATTTGGTATTAATCCCATATAGCATCTGATTGTTATTAATCATTCTGTGAAATCTGAAGCAGTCAAAGTATTGATTGCATCAAACTTCTTAAGTCATCCTTGGTTTGTCCAACTTACTTATTAAAACATAGACTTGTGTTTTCATCTTTTTGTGATTTAAAAGGTATTTGCAATCTTTTCTTATACACCTGACCTGAAACTCAAACCCAGATTTCAAATACAAATGGAAAGACATTGAAATGTGCTCTGTTTGCTTTTCAGCTTTCATTTGTATTACTTACATATTTAATCTTGAGATTTATGACTTACATCCTTGTTCAGCTTGACTCCTGTTATTTTTACCTGATCTTATGATAGAGGTATATTTTAGATTCAGCCCATTAATGGAGAATTGGCAAGTGAGTCACTTCTCCAGTCTAGATCCCACTAAAAAAACGTAAAAGTTCTCATCTATAATTCACAATTCTTATGCCTTGTTTTGCATTAAAACCCAGCGATGATTGCATTTTTTGTTAGTATTATAGCCAGGATGATATTAACATATGTCAGGAAATGAAAGAAATGTAAAATTTTAGGAAGAACCAGTGGTACTTACAGAATGAAAGGTGTTAGCAGGAATAGTTCTCTTTTCTGTATGAAATGGAGAAAAGCTGTCAGCAGGTCCCATTCTCTTGTAAATTATACAGTAGCTAGTAACTTATATAAAGGAATAAAAGTCTGCCAACTGCAGATTTTAGAGTATTTATTTACAGTATTTTAGAGATACAGAAAAAAAAAAGACATGAAGCAGGTCCACCCAGGAGTTTGTGAACCTATACAGTGCCTGAGGAAGTAGCTGTGTGGAAATGGGATTCACAATCATTGAGCCCTCCCACCAAAAACACCCAAAAAAGGATGTGCTTGAACTGCTCTCTCTCTCTCTCTGAGTTTTGCTTCTTGGTACAGAACTTTGAGAACTGTGGGACTCCTGGTCTGGAAATCCCTCTGTGAATAGAAATGTGTTTTGTTCTCTTCATGGCAGAAGAAAATCCCAAATCTGAGAACACTCCAGCTATCAGGCTATAAACTGTTCTCAGTGGTGTTTGTCTGCTGGTGAAGCTGTCTCATGGTATAGCCAGGAGAGCATGAGCTACAGGGCCAAAGAGCTGGTGAACAGAGACTCCCAACTTCTGCACTTAATCTGATCTACACATTTAACCCAGTGACTCCAATACAAAACAGCCATGGTATCACCTTGCCCACCTTGCTCTCATTCTGGACTGTTTCTTAGGCTGCCTGTAACCTCACAAATCTTGAATCTCTGTCTACGTAATGGCCTGATTTCAAAAGCAGAGCATGGAAGTCTTTCTGTCAAGACCAACCAATAACAAACAATAACCGCATGTTGTGATGCTTAGAAAAAAAAGGGATGATTGTGCACTGAACTACTGTTATGCTAAGGAGAGAGTTAAAACCAGAACTACTTCTTCTCCAGGGGTTATACCCCATGGCTGAAGGGTGTTAAGGACAGTCAGCATCCCACAACCCTCCCTTACAGCTGTGTTTTAGAAGAATCAAGTTTCTGCCTAAACACCATCTTTGTATTTGTTGCTCTGGTCCTGTGAGCCTGGTATTGCATATTTTTGTATACCCCAGCAGATGGCATTGAATGTTCATTTATTCAATGTATGTAGTACTTTAATCTCTGCTCGGAGGATCATTCCTGGGCAACAGGGAAGGAGATTTTTCAAGCAAGTTACTTGTCTGATTTTCTGTTTTGTTATACTGGTGCTAATCAGAAGTAAGCCCAGTTAAAGGTGGCACCAGGATAATAATAAAAAGGCAGTGTCTGAATTTGTAGCCTTTGTACTTCTGTTCATAAAAAAAGTGTGGTTGATTTATCCTCAACAATAAAAAATCAGTATCAGTGGTGAACATCAATGCTATTGCCCATGAATTTAGTGTCTTAATGCTAAAGAGGGACTGTTTGACACAAGCCTTTGGGATGATGTATTGCTATCCAATATCAGTTTTCAATTTGATGTCCAGGTCATTTTATCATCTCTTCTGTTATGCATGAATCACTGGAGTTGGGATGAACTCCGTCTGCCTTCTTTCTTCTTAGGTCTCCTTTGCAGTGAAGGGAGCAGCACTGGTGCTGCTTTTCCATGGGTCTGCCCTGCATAAGGTAACTGCCCAAATATTTGCTCTGTGCTAGCTGAGGAGTGCAAACCAGTGAGAAACCACTCTTCCTGTTATTTAGGAATATCATTTTCGTAATGAAGATGGTAGCTGCAATCAGCTGGACCTTCTGGCAAAATTTTTTTCACTGCAAGCTAAAGATTTAAAGCTGGCACAGGCTAGAGTCTCCTCAAGCTATAGGGACTCATCATGTTTTATTCAGTCTGGAAATTTTTCGTTGCTTTGCTGCGATGCCTGTGAAATTGATAAATAGAGACTATCACTTATAATAATAGTAAGATGTTATATTTCTGTGGGATACTTGTGGGTGTGTTTCTGCCAGCTGACAGAGAATGCCTGATGTCAAAGGACAAAATGGAAAAAGTTATCTTCTCTTTAATTTGTAATGGAATAAAACAGTGCATGCATTTTGTGGCAACTTTGACTTTTCATGGTGACCTAAAAAAGTTTTGTTTAAAAGGGTGACAGGTTAGGAATTTGTACATCAAAAACGTAACCCTTTAAGTGGGAAAGCAGAAGGTAAATCTGTTCCCACTGGCTTCTCTGAATCTATGAATGCACAGTGGTGTTTTTAGTCACTGTGGTGTTTCAGCCAGTGGCAGAAAGTGATAAAGAATTGTGGGTTGTGATTTAATAAAACCTGTGATCCTGACAGGGTGTGTACTAACCACCTGAGCAGAAAAAACCCTGAAGCTGGAAATGCTGCAAGGAAGAATGGTGTAGACATTTTCAGAGTCACCTTTTACTGTCTTGCTCAAAATTATGATGCAAAACCTTGTCCTGTTCAGGTATACAGGCATCTTCCTTAAGCATATAGAGGGGGTAGACAAAAATAATAATACTCTAATTAAACCTGAATAATACAGGTTTAATTAGAGTACCAAATAAAAGATTAGGCAGGTTTCATTTCAGAGTCATGAAAAAGGCATGTGAATAAATACAAGTTATGGTGGGCATTTGAGCTAAGGCCAGCTTCCACAACAAAAAAAGATTTGCAGTTAGATGATAGATTGCTGGGTTTTATTTTTCCCAGGACTGCTTTTTCCAGCCCTAAATCTAATCTAATCTAATCTAATCTAATCTAATCTAATCTAATCTAATCTTCTATATTATGTGGATATTGAATGCATTTAAACAAACTTCACATAACACTATAAACATATGGTACATCAAATAAATTCATCTGGCTAGTTGTGCCACTTTTTAGTTAGATAATTTTATATGTTTTGCATTAAATGGCTCAGCTCAGCTACAGTTGTGAACTGCAGTGTCATTTACAAGGAATTTAAGTAAATGCAGTGATTTACTTTTGAAATTAGTGTACTTTAAACACATGCTTGCTACTGACCATAATCTGTCATGGAAAGAGATTTAGAGATCCTGTGTCATTGTCGTCTTCTTTTGGAACAACAAACAGCAAAATAGGAGAGACCTTCAAAGGTAGCAGCAGAAGGAAAAAGAAGGTTCCCTTAGCTGGTTTCTAGAAACCATCAGCCAAGCTAATGCTTTCAGTCTGCATCAAGAGAATAACTTATTCCTGGCTTTCTGCAGTGTATACCATCATGAAGCCAAACATTTTTTGGTGCACAGTGGAAGTAAACACCTTTTTGTTTTCTGCATTACTGGGTATCCCCTGAGTGGGTATCCATTATTTTCATTTTTTTTTCTACTAATTAATTTTAATTTTTATGATATTAAAATATTCAGATCTATCACAGACTTTTGCTGGCTCTGAGTAAGAAGTAGGCTACACAGACATGCTACAGTACTTCCTTTTTCAGCAGTGAAGGAATTTTACCTTTTGGATGTATATTCGGATTCATTACTTCATGTATGTTTGGGCAAGATCTAAATACAGAAAAAAAAGAAAAAGAACTCCACTTAATTAAATAGCAGAAATTTCCATTGTTCTATGAAACTTCTCATAGAGTCCAGTTTAAATTAATGAGTGAAAGTTGCAAGGATAATAAGTGCATTTGAGAAATGACTTTGCAGATTTGAAATTTAACAATCTTGGGTCAACCTTACATTTTTGTTCACTTACAGCTCCAAGATTGTTGCAGAGAGCTCTATTCATTTTGCAAACATTCATTTTAGACATAAATATTGTAACGGCATTATTGATGCTTTACACATTCAGTGTATTATGGGAGGGATGAATTTCCTTAGGGAGATAGGAGCTAAAACTCTCTTTCCACATGTGCCCCTCCACATGGCTTCCTTCCCATTCTGCCAAATAAGTAAACACTTTCCCTAGACCTGCTGTGGTACCCTTCCATCCTGCTATTCCTCTGTTATGAAGAATATGTGAGATATACTGGGTGTGGAAGAACCACATGAGCCTTACTCTGCTGTTGGCTCTCCCAACATGACCTCCTTCACCCCCTGGACTGTAGCTAGACTGTCCCTAGCCTTTACCCAGACTGCAGCTCTGTATCAGCCTGCCCAGCAACATTTGTGATCATTGCAGTAGCAGTACTTAGTACTCAGAAGCAACATCAAAAGCTATTTTGCAATGAAGATTTGGCCAGGGATCACATTAATGCACACTCATTTCATCTATATCTAAGCATCCACCCTTGAATTGCCTAAAGTCTGGGAAATACCACCACAAATCTCAGAGTTTCAACTAGCCCACTCTTACAATTACAAACTAATTTAGATTAGCTGCAGCTTTTGAGCCCAGGGTGAAGCTGAATGATTTCCTGTTCAGTGAGCAAGCTGTAAACCACACAAGAGTGTAGTAGAGTGTGTGATAATAGTATGGACACATCAATAATAAAACTTTTATTTATATTACTTATCAGTGATTTAAAAAAATAATTTATTTACTTACTTATTTTTTGGCAAAGCTGTTTTCCTGATGTTTGAATCTGCTGGGTGATATTCTACTGTTTTCCTGTTGGCTCTGACAGAATTGAACAAAGTTTACTGTTAGAGAGCAATAGTAAATGGGGAAGAAATGCAAGTGCAAGCAGAGCTCCAAAACTAATTTTCAAAACTTTTCAATGCACATATGTAAATTATTGCCTTCTCTATCTCAAACGTTTTCATTCTCTGAATATTTTCCTGATTTTTTTTTGTTTTGTTTTCAGCTATTTGGAAAAAAGAGCAACGATTTCCTGCCGAGGGAATGAAAAGCTGGAAACTGAATTCCTGCGTCCACTGTTTTGGTTACATTAGAATAGGGTACTTATTGAATTCAACTGAATAGGAATTAAAACCCAGGGGCACCTATCCAAGATCTCTGTTGCTGGTGAAATAGTTGCTAAACACCAGGGGTGTAGATACCAAAACAACAGAGCTCAGTTCTCTTGGCCTCTCTGCTTCTGATTGCCCTTGAGCCTCTCTTAGAAACAGAACTCCTTATTTTACTCAGGTGAAATAATACTGATTTATAAATCCTTGAAACAAAAACTGAGATGACTTCTGCTTTTACCTTTTGACTACTGGATGTTTCTGTGTTTTCAGCAAAATGAGTTAGGA